CAGGACACCTAGGTCACCCTCCTCTTGACTTCATGATCTCAGTTAGGCACCTTTAATGGGAGCAAGAAGAGTGGAGAAGGTCTGAATTGATGGTCTTTCTTGGGGTCTTTCTCCTCCTCCTAGGTACGCCACAGATTGAGAACATCCAGCCATTCTCTGCCAAGGATCTTTCTATTAGATCCCTAGGGGACCGGATTCGTGACCTAGCTCAGCTTAAGAACCTCTACCCAAAGAAACCCAAAGATGAGGCCTTCCGGAGCCACTACAAGCGTAAGCTAGACTCCTCTCCCTTTCCTTCCCTCCCCGACACACACTCAGAGCTCCTGCCCTTCTCAACTTCCTAGTCCTTCCATCTTATTATTTTATAGTACATATAAAACACACACACACACACACACACACACACACACACTATCCATATCTAGAATAGTAGGAAGGAATAGGAATGTGTGTGTGTGTGTGTGTGTGTGTGTGTGTGTGTGTGTGTGTGCACGTGAGCATACTTCTACAGCTCCTGGTCTTCTACACTTTCTACTTCCTGCTACATGTCTCTCACTACCCTTTCTTTATGCCCCCATCGTGATCACTCATCTCTATCTCCTCTCATCTAACTTTCAGCCTCCCATTCTGCCCTCACTCTAATTCCTCATCCTCTATTTCTATCCCCCCTCACCATGTTTCTCCATCACCCTATCTCTCTGGCCTCCATTTCTCTAGCCTCCTCATCCTCCTCCCCAATTTCTTGCCATCTCCTAATTCACCTGTGTCCTTACTGCCTTAGACCCACTTCATCCTGTCACTCTGTTTTTTCCTGAGTCTCCAATCTCTTCTTTTCTCTTCTTCTACTCTAGCGGAACAGATGGGCAAAGATGGCAGGGGTTATGTCCCAGCTACTATCAAGATGACTGTTGAGCGGTGAGTAGGGTGGGAAAGTGACCAGAGGCTAAGTTTGTGGTACCCACACATTTCCACATGAAGTTAAACCTCTGAGCATGGACTGTGAGATCCAGTGGTCAGATACATATTTGTCTCTCTATCCTCATTCAGGGACCAGCCACTACCTACTCTGGAAAGCCACCTGCCTGCCATGGTGCCCACATCCACCTATGACCTTCAACCCAGTCCTGAGCCCTTTACCACGCAGTTCGTATCAGAGAGGGTGTAAGGATTTCTTTGGATAGTAGGGGGAAAGTAATAATAATCCATAACTAACATTGACATAGTGCCTTAAGGTTTCCAAAACATTTTTTCCCCCAAGTATCTTATGAAATAGAGACTGGATTATTAACTTCTTTGCAGATGAGGGACCAGAGGCCCAGAGTGCATTAAGTGATCTGTCCATGGTCATAGAACTAGTTCCTGACTCTTAAGTCCAACCACCTTTCCACCACACACATTGCCTCTTAGAATACCAAGCAATTGCCTTGTGGGAATAGTTTATTGATAGGAAGACCCTGGGGAGCTAGTAATGAATATTAGGGGTTGTTAAGGGGAGGAAGTGTGTGTGTGTGTGTGTGTGTGTTGTGTGTGTGTGTGTGTGTGTGTGTGTGTGTATCTGACTGGGTTCCTCAGTTTTTCTTTCAATGCGATTGGTACAATAGTGCCCTGGAGGGGTAATAGATAATGGGGTCATGGAGATGGACTACGATCAGATGGCCTTTCTGTCCCTCAGTCCCAGGGCCCCGGTATTCCCAGTACACCCTGTGCAGCCTCAATTTCATGTACAGCCATTGGAGGAGCCCCATAAAATGCTGCCCGCCTTCCAAGAGTAAGTCTAACCCATTTAAGGGAAGTCAGATGATATTCAAACTGGGTGAGAGGGAGATCTGGTTGCAACCGCCCCTCCACTTGATGGGGAACAGAAGTTCCTGAATTTTTTATCATCAAGATCTATTATCGCTAGGCATGATGGGGCATGCTACTGGGGACACCAGGGCTGGTGGAGTGCTTGAGCTCGAGAGTCCTGCACTGCAGTAAGCAAAGCTAATCAGGTGTTTTCACTACGTCTGGAACCAGTATGGTTGGAGTTGGGTTGCAGGTGAAGGGGAGGACACCAGGCTGCCTAAGGATGGGTAAACCAGCCCAGGTCAGGAAAACAGAGCAGGTTAAATCTCCAGAGCTCATTGTTAGTGGGATTGGTCCTTTGAGTGGTCCCTGCATTTCTAGCTTGGGAGAGGTGGAGAGATCCAGTCTCAAAAAAAGGGGACCTACTCTTGGAATAGGAGAATGGAGGCAAGACTTGGGAAACTATTCTGCTAGTCATCCTCCAGGCCCCAGGCTGCTCTTTGTCCTCTGGCCTTCTTGTAGTACTTATAGCTCGTGTTAACTGATTATATAAGGCTTTGGGATGCCTCTTTTATTGCTATGCTCACTTTTTCAGTATCAGTCTTCTCGCCCTATTATGCTGAAAGCTCCCTTAAGGCAGGAACTGTATGGTATCTTTTTAAAGACCCACAGTGCCTACACCTGGCATAGTCCTGTGCACTTAGTAGGTACTCAATGGATATCTGTTGATTAAGGCTTCTGGGAGGTTAGAATTGTGACAATCATAGCGGATTAGAGCTGACAGACCTTGAGAGGTCGTCCAATCTGTTTGCAGTTAGCTGTTCATAGGATCATAGGATTGAGAACTATGGGACCTTAGAAGTCCAACCCCTTTCATCTTGCAGATACAGAAACTGAGGCCCAGAGAAGCTAGATAACCTGGTCAATGTCCCAGAGAGTGGTAGAATTGGACCAGAACCCCAGATTCCAAGTCCAGTGCTGCTTCTACTACATATCTTCCTTCTTGGTCTCTCCCTTCCATAATGATGTCCTTCCCTCCTCCCCTCCCACCTTTACTTCTGCTTGCAGCCAGTCCCTACAGATGACATTGATGGTTCCCAGAATGAATCAGCTGAACTTGCCTTTTGACCAACCACATCCTCAGTGAGTAAAAGGACTACTTTCCTCTCTCCAACACTCTACCCATTGCTCACTGCTGACACTACTACTAGTGACCCTGGACAAATCACTTAATCTCTCTGAGCCTCAGTTTCCTGATTTATAAGAGTTGGACTAGAAGAACCTCTTAAGGTCCCTTCTGGCTCTAACTCTATGATCATGTAATCTTCAGGAACAACTCTCCCAAAGTCCCCCTTCTTTTGAGCAGCACCACCCTACCCCCTCACTCAGATCCTTATTAGCTCTCTCCTGTGCTACCAAAGGGTTCTGATTCCACCGGGGGATCCAGCAATCCACAATCCCAACTCCATGATCTGCTCAGATGTGAGCATGAGTGAGGAAGAAGGGCTAGGGCAGCATGTGTTTCCTTTAGAAAACTGGTGAGTATTGGGAATGGGGAAGAAGGGCTAGTGATGGGGGCACTGTTGGGAAAGGCACTGGATGGAGAAGGCTGGAACCTGGAAGAATCCTGGAGGGAGAGGGAAGAAGGACTACATCTAAGATATGAGAGGGGTTCACTTTTCCCTTGATACAACTGCATCTCTCCATTGCTTTCCCATAAGGAGTGAAGACCTCCCTGCCTTGCTGCCCCCTACTGATCAAGACCTGACCAAGCTTCTCCTGGAGGGGCAACTGGAAACAGGGCAAGGGCCCCTGCCAGTCCAGCCCCTTATGTCCACCTCTCACTATGGGCAGCCTGCGTTGGCGCCTTCTTCCCATCTAGACCTAAGTGCCAATCCCAGCTGGGGACCCTAGCAGGAATGAGGGAGTCTGGGAGATCCTTTCTCTTTTTAGCCTTCAAAAGACCTCCCCAGGCTCCCAACAACCTTTGGAGATGGGAACCTGCTTTGGTCTGGAATTCTGTCCATGATTTCTACCCCCACTCAACCCCACTCCCTGAGACAGTCATAAAGAGGGGCCCCCTGCCCTTCTGCTGACAGACCCACTGTCCGTCAGAGTAAAAGGATTTTGTCAGGAGAATCTGCTGTAGGCATTGCAGATCTTCTCCTACTCCCCCACACCACCTCTCCTGAAGAGGAAGGGAAGGTTGGTCTGTAAATAAGAAGTCCAAACATGCCGGCACATGCCACTCTAGGCAGGAGGCACAAGCATTCCTCATGGAAATGTGCAGCAGGTGAGGGTGGGGGAAGGGCACAGAGAATGCTCCCTCCTACTGCATTCGTGGACACAGGACCTACATGCAGAAACACAGAGACGCAATTACATATTTGCACTGTTGTCTGGGGCCAGAGTGATGAGCTGGAACTATTCAAGGTAGTCTGGTAATTGGGGTTTAAAGAGTATGGGGGGGGGATGAAAAGAAGAGAAGGAGGGATCTGTACAGTTGGTTTCTGGTGTGGGTTTCACCCAGATTTTAAAAATAAAAAACACCTTGTAGACAGAGGCTTTGTGTCTGCACAAGTAAAAATGTGTGGATGACTTTTCATGTATGATAGCACAAAGGCAGATCTGTTTTTGCATGTGTAACTTTTTTCACGAATGCAAGTTTGTTGGGGCTACACAAGTATAAGTAAGTGTGAGTGAGTGAGTGAGTGAGAGAGTGTGTGTGTGTGTGTGTGTGTGTGTGTGTGTGTGTGTGTGTGTTTTGTGCCAGCTCAGCAAACCCCGGGCCTCAGAGGTCTCTGGTGGGTGAGAGAATAGCATTTTTTTCTTCTTCTCCTGACAGCAGTTCAGGCTAAAAGAAACACTTTTCAGACCATTTGACCAGGGTATCTTCACTACAGAGGGTTGGACTTAAAATCCGGAACCGAGTTTAAATCCCACCTCACACACCCACTGGTCACATGACCCTGGGGCAAGTTACTTAAACTCACATTCTTATTTTCCTCATCCATAAAATGGGGGCAGTAGCACCTACCTCTCAGAGCTGCCTCAAGCAGGCTAATCGGATCGTCTGCCCAATTCATGTTTAAAAACTCCACTTGCAGCTGGACAGGAAGCAAGTGGCAAGGGCCCCCTCTAGCTTTCCCCTCAAAAACCAAATCCTACCCCAGATTCTTCCCAATGCAAGCCACCCCCACCCTCTGGGTCATGAATCCTAAGCCATAAAATAAATTTTATTCCAAAATAACAAAATAAATAATCTACTGTACACGGTGTGAAAGGACAGGTGTTCTAACTGCTCAGACGCTGTAGTTCAGTCCCAGGGTGGGGGACATCCTGAATCCAACCCAGGCCCTCCAGAGGGAGCTAGGGAAGGTCTGGGTTTTTTGTTTTTTTTTTTAACAGGGGAGCCCACTCCACCCCCAGTTGAGCGAGGGGGAGGAGGGATGACTGAAGATTTTTTTTTGAGGGGGTGGAAGTAAACTGCAGCGTTTGTTAAATTAAAGAAACAAACTAGAAGCACAAACATGGGGAGGAGGGAGGTAAGTTGGAGGGAAAGCTGGGGTTCTCAGGGCTCCCCCACTTGCACTGAGAAAACAGTTTTCATTCTCAGCTTCTGGACCCTCCCAGAATGGCTCCAACGTTTCCCCTAATATCCAAACTGTGTACTTGTTGATACAGGGGTTCAAAATTAGAATGTGTATGAGAGATTGAGGGAGGAGGAACCCCAGAATTTCCAGGAGAGGTGTTCGAAAGGCAGAGTTCACACAGAATCCCCTTCCCTCCAAGCCAAGGGGCACCAGATTCTGCCCTCATTCAGGCCGCCTTATTGCTTGATGCCCCATTTGTCCAAAGCCCATGGAGCAGGGGAGGCAGATGGGAGGGTCTGTGGAAGATCAGAGGGATCTGAGAGTCCAGGGCCTGTGGTAGGCAGAGGTCCGGGGTTCCAGTCCACATTAGACATCCCTCACTGCCGGCTGGCCTCAGCCTCCACCTTCACACTGGCCCTTCTGCCCTCGACCAGGGCTGGATGGGTCCCAGGGGCAGGACACCGTTCCAACAACCCCTCTTCAAACTCTGCAGGGAGATGGGGCAGGTTAGGAAAGGGCATGGAGTGCTGTAAAGACCAGTTCCAACATGGAATCCCCAAAGAACAGAAAAGCACAAAGGCAGGGCTCAGCTCCGTCCTGAGCCATCATCCCCAGCCCCAGCTTGTGCATGGCTCCTGAGCTCTGTCTTTCTCTCTGGCTCTGGGTCTCCTGCCGCTGTATTGCTGGAATTTCTGGTTCTAGCAGGAGCTGCGGGGGCGAGCTGGCTCTGACCTCTCCTCATCTCCCCCCTCTTCTCTAGCTCTCCTCCCCTCCCTTCCCTGGGCCTCTCAGACTCACCCCACTCCTGCCCCCCCTCCCTTTCCCCTCCACCCCACTGAGTTTCTGGGAATCCTGGGGGGGGGGCGGTAAGAAAGGCGGCCAAAGAAACACAGGAAGCCACCTCCCAACTCCTCCTCCAGGCCTAAGCACCCCCAGTCTCCACCCCCACTTCCCACCCACACACCATTTAAAAATACTGAGCTAGGGTTGGTGGTTTCACCTACTGCGTCACTCAGCCTAGCAGCTGCCCCCACCCTCTCCCCCCCCACTCCCTACACTGCACCTCCCTACTTGGCTCTTGCACACCCATCCCTGCCCCCACCTCCCCTAAAACACAACTCTGCTACCCCATCTCCAAAACAACTCTCACTATGCTCCCCCTATTGTTACATCCTCTCCTCTCTAAGATGTTTTTCTGCCCAACCTTAAGTGAGTTTCCTATATCCCTAACTATTCCCCATTTCCAACTTGTAGAACAATTAGGCATCAAAATGTAGGTTTTCTACATTCCCCATGCAGAAACTTCATGGTTCTATAGGTCCCTAAGTGCAAATCTGTCCTCCCAGGCCCCTGTATTGCTCTCATCCTCCTATAATATGCCTCTGATTTTAGTATTCTTACTCCCCTAGTTGAATATTTCCTCTCCCCAAAGCATGAGGCCTAAGGAACAGTGCCAGCTGTCTCACCTGCGAGGGGTGGCTTCGCAGGCAGACAAGGGCTGAGCCTGCCCACACGGTCATGGGAGACAAGGCGGGCAAGCCGCAGCCCCTCGTCCATCAGTGTCTGCTGCAGGATGTGGCGGCTCCACAACCCATGGGCGGGCAGTGCCAGGGGCAGGTCAGCAGGGGGAGGCGTCAGCCTTGGGCACCCCACAGCTGTAGGCATGGGGCACTGGTCAGACATATTATGATGGCAACATGGAATATAATAGACTCCCCGAGATCCACTCAGCCTGCCCCAGGGTCTCCTCTAGTCCCTTGTCAGCCAGATAAGGGTTAAACAGGGACTATATCCCAGTTATTCCTGCTGCCCGTTTCCAAAGATCAATCGACTGATCCATGAGCATTTATGAAGCACCCACAATATACCAGGCACTATAGGCTCCTTCTCTATTCATCATCTCCTTGTTGGAGGAGGGTTAAACAAACTCAATACACAAGGATTCTGCTGCCACCCCCTTACCGAGGAAGGGGCAAACAGCGATCTAGCTCTGGAAAGAACCCCTGATGGCCCCACCCCTTCAGAGGTCCACTCCCTGCTGCTGCCCCCTCTGCTTACCCTGTAAGTGTCCATCTAGACTTTCCCCAGACAGGCTGGCACTGTCCTCCTCCAAGCTGGGGCGGTACAGTGGGCCATAGGACTCAGGCCCTGGGGGTGGCTGGAGAATTTCAGAGTGACTCTGCTCCCCAACCTGCAGGCAACCCAAATGGAAGAATGAACAATAGGGGACAGGGGAGATGTCAACACAGTTCCATGGCATCACTGGGACAAGGCCTAGGGTCCACCTCAATGCCAACCCCATATTTCCCCAGAGAAACCTACCTCCTGCTTCAGTTTCTTCAATGGTGGCCCCCCCATCTCTTCTGGGTGCAACCTGCAGGTGAAGAGAGCTGGGGTAAGAAGGGCAGGGGATATGTTGGGGCAAGGGCGGGGGGAGCAGGTTCTGTGCAGGGGTCCCCTTGGCATTAGATGGGCCTGTTAGGAAGCCACAGCTCAGGTACCACTGTTAACAGGTCTGTTTCAGAAGTGACAAGTGGCCTTTCTCTCATCCTCCTGGGGTAGGGGAGGGAAGACTTCAATGCACTTTGTGCTTTGTGGTCAGGGGCTGGTTTTGGTTTGGAGGTTAGAGCTCCTCTGGGCAGTATCCCTGATTTTACTCCTGGAGTAAAAAAAGCAGGGGATCCAGCTCACTGGGAAGACCAAAGAGGGGGTCTGCTTTTCAGTGAGTGAAGGTCTGGGGGAAAGGGGTCTCACCTGGAACCCTTGAGAGAGGAGAGGTAGGTGCTCTCCCGGGCCACTTGACGAGACAGGGAAAAGAGTTCTACTCTCCGGAGTAGGAGTGTGTTGTCCCTCATGCAGAACTGGGCAGCTGCCTCATTGATGGTCAACTGTAAGGATTGGGGGGGCAGAGGAGTCAGAATAGAGGTGGTTCTGGGAACCCTGACCCGCAGCACTCCATCACTGTACTCAGAAATGAAGCCTCCAGCTCCAGTCGAACTATGTTTTGACAAGTGATTTCTTTTTATCTCTTTTCCCAACTCTCTGAATGGAAGCCAAGCTGCAGCCCAGTGGTAGGAGAGAGGGAGATTGAGAGGCAAAGGAAAGGCCTGGGGGGGGGGGTCAACCTGTTGCTTCCTGGGAATGGTAGAGGCCCCCTGACAGTTACTGGGGTCTCGGTGGCACTTGGGACATGTTTAGCAACAAAGGGATGGTTCTCTTTTGCACCAAACTTTCCCCCTCTGGTGGGGATGAGGGATTCTGTCAAGCCAGGTAGAGGAGCCAAGAATCTGAAGGAATCCGAAGGAGGTACAGGTACTGAAGGAGGCCTGGGATTTCTAGAGACCATAGCTGGGGCAGGGGGAAGATACAGGGAAAGTCAATAAACTCTGAGGGGGACCCTGAGGTCCTTACCTCATGCAAGCTGAGCTGTTTGCCTTCCCTGCGCTTGGAATCAAAGCGTCCATAAATAATGCTGTACTTTCTGATTTCTTCCTCTTTGTGACTGTCATTGTCATCCATTTCAAAGATGTGCCCTACACTTCGAGCTAGCTTCTTATTCAGCTTGAGGAGGGATGTCACCTCCCCAGCGTCTCCCCGGGGGAAGCTCCGGATGAGACGCTCCACACTCTCGATCACCATTCTAACCATTTCTGGTTCTAATCGATCTGAACCACCTCCCACCCCACCTAACCCAGGCCCTTCTGAGACCCCACCCCCAGCAGGTGGGGAGAAAGGAGGCGAGCTGGCCTCTTCCTCTCCACCAGCACCAACGTCCGACTCAGGAGTGCTCCCGCCTGCCCAGACTCGAGGATCTCCACCTCCCTGGCCCCCAGGCAAGGGAGAGAGTTTCTCTCCCAGTTCCAATGGACTCTTAGGGCTGAAGCTTCGGGCACTGCCCGCCTTGTCTCCTGGGCTTCCGTGTCCATTGCTCATGCTTCCTTTTCGACCACCTGCTGTCTCAGAGATCTTAAAGAGAGGGATGCTGGAAACAGGCACAGCAGGCACAGGCTGACTGAAGAGCCCTGGATTGGTGGCCCATTCCCTTAACGCCTTCTGCAAACGTCGGACATGGAGAGGTTTGGTGGCCATGCCCACCAGTGCCATGATCTCCAGGAATTCTTCTTCTCCTGCCTCACACAGCTGCTGAACGTCGTCCCCCCCCTGCTGGATGAAGGTCTCATAGTAGGATAAGAGGTTGGCACGCTGCAGGACCCGATACAGCTGCAGCTCCCCCAGTGTCCGGGGTAGTGCCATGGTTAGAGCACTGGGCCTAGGAAAGGGCACACAGGAAGAAGAGAGGTCAGAGAAGCTCCCTCAGTTTGCCAACAACCCCTGAGCCCATTTTTCCTCCTTGTGAATCCAGAGTTTCTACACTCCTTGTAAGGTTTATTATTCACCTGCTCAGGCTGAAGACTCTAAGTAGGTCTGAGAAAGTGGGAGCTGCCCAGAAAGACACCAATACCATGGTAAATTTGCATCAAATAAGCATTTATTAAAGTACCTACTATGTGCCAGGCATAGCTGTGCATCTGCCACAGCAAATAACAAGTGCTGGTGCCCAACCACAACAGGACCAAAGCCTGCCCCCCCCCAGTCCTCATCCTCTGTTTTTACTCATCTTGCTTTCCCCTCATCCTGGCATTAGACATCCATGGCACTTAATGTCATATCAACTGCCATGCCAGTTAAATTGAAGCCAGTATATACCTAGCATAACTAAGCACTCCTCCCTCCCCAACATACTCCACAAGCCTCTTCTACTGAGTACACAGTAATATCAAAACTCCACTCCCCATCCCACAGGACATCTCTCTTCTCCCCAGGCTATGACAGAAAGCACCCCTGATCTCCTGCTCTACTCCTCAGTGGGTTTTCAAGAAGAGCCCAAGGAAAACAGGGCCTCCCCCAGCCCCAGTTCCCTGAAAGCTGAGCTGAAAGGGGTGTGGCAAATCCCCTACCCACCCAAGCAGCACCTCCCTTCCCCCACCAGCAACTTCCAAGGCCTTGACCTTCTGTCCACAGAGCTCCTTTTCTGAGTGTCCCCCCTCCCCATCTTTGTAGTGACCTTCCTCCACCCCCTCTATGGCCCCTAAGGCCTCCCAGTGCCCTGGTGCCAAGGGAGAGGAGGGTAGGGGTGTATTCATTGTTCCCTTCAGGAGCTGTCCTGCCCACGCAGACTTCCACAGTGGCTGAGTGTGTGGGTGCAAACGCCCCTGGGGCCCCCACGTCCTACCTCCTACCTCTTCCCTATTCCTGTCTACCCCTGCAGAAGAGGGGGTAGTGAATGATGGAGGGGCTAGAATAGAAAGGCCCCTCGCACTCAAGCTGTGTACAAAGAATTAGAAATTAAGAGAAATTAATGCATCCCCTTTCTGCCCTATGCTATAATCCTATGTTCTCTTCCCTCACAGAGATCTGCTTCTAGCAACTGAAAAGCCTGCTTTCTCTTTCTCGTGCGGGTCCTAAAGCTAAACCAGTTGGGGGCACCAAGGCCAACCCTAAGAGATGAAGCTTGCCCTAGGGATGGAGCTTCCCAGTGCCAGATACCACCAACCCTGTCAAGCTGTGCCTGGGGCAGGAAATGAGGGACTAGGTAATATTCTTCTTATACTCAGCACTAACAGAGCCCTGGGCCTCCTTTTCTATGTACTCACAGCCCCCACCCTTTTTCTCCTCACCTTCATCCCACTCTCTCGATTCTGTTTTCTTTCTAAGCTTCCCATTCCCGGTCCCTTTACAGAATAATTTCACTGCCTGCCCAGCCCAGCCCACTTCTCCCCACTCACTTGGCTCGGGGCTGCGGGGTCCGGCGGGCGCTGTCCCCTCCGCCCGGCGGCTGCTCAGTTGTAGGGGAGGGCGCCCTGTGCATGGACGGTAGGAGACCCTCCGGGGTACCCTTCGCGGTTTCCAGTACTCCCTGCTCTGTTCCAGGAGCTCGGTGCCCAATACCTGGTGCCCAGTGCTCCGTGTAGTGACCGCCGCTGGCCGGGCTCCGTCCCTGCCTCCACGTCTCCTCTTTCTGTGGCTGTGTCTCGGTGCCTCTGCCCCCCTCCCCGGCTGCGCTTGCCGCCTCCTCCCCCGCAGGACGCACGGGGGAGCGGGCCCGGCGCTGCGCTGGTTGCCGGGCGGGCTGGGGGCGTGGGCAAAGCTGGAGGCGGTGGGCGGGCGCCGGGACCTCAGCCCGGGAGAGAGAACGGAGAGAGAGAGACTGGCCGAGCCGGGAGAAAGTTAGAAGGGGGTGGGGAAAAGGAGTAGGCGGTGGAAAGACTGAGGCGGGGGCGGATGCGGGGGCGGATGCGGGGGCGGGGTAGGGGCGGGGACCTGGGGCTGGGGCACCTAGTAGGGGACTAGGTGACCCAGGCCAGGCTGGAGAGGGCGGGCTAAGACCTCAAGGGCGGGGCTAGAAGCTTTCTCTGCTGCCCACTCCGGATGCAAAACCCTCCTTCTCTCCGCCCTCGCTCCCACGTGAATGCCCAGGCAGGCATCCATCCCTGCCCCCCAACTCCAGCTTCCCAGACCCTGCCAACCTGGGAATGGAGTTCCACTACCACGCACAGGTACGCACAGAGACAGCTACACAAACACAACCACACATAGAGAGACACATGCAGAGTCACACCAGCTCCCTACAAGCCAGGCCCCTTGGTTCCTAGGCCTTCTAGTCTTAGTGGCATAACTGGGAAGAAGGATGAAGAGAGGGACTCGAAGTCTGTACGTGAGACGGTATTTCTGGAAAGGGTCTCCTGGGACAGTAAATTTGTCCTGTCGGAAACTCATCCGGTCACCCCATCTTCTACCTCCCCTACCTTTGTAGTGGGAAGCGTTCTGATTTTGGATTAGAGGTCATTAGTTCGAATCTTTCCTCTGGCGCTTACTGGCCGTATGACCTCGGGCAGATCCTCTACCTCTCCCTGGGCCTCAGTTTCCTCCTCCATTAAAAAAGAAAAGTATAATTTTCACATCTATTGAAAAAAAAAAACAACCAACTAGCAGGTTGAAGGAAACAACTGCTATGTGCTCCTTCCAGGTCTGAATTTACGATATTATCTCTGAAACCAGAAGGTAATTTTAGACCAGGGCTTAAAGATTCTCCGTCACCCTTAGAGATGCTACTGACTACATACAACCTCACCCTGTCATTCTGTCTTTGAGATTTCCAGTGATGTTTGATGTAATACGGTGATAGAAATCGGCAGAGTGTGTATTGATAATTCTAGGACCTACCAAATAAATTTGTTTACGTTTTCTGATGGATACCAGTTTGCTACTTCATAGGGTAAACGATCGGTTTGCTATTGTGAGCCTCTGGGTTCTTACACTTCGGACAGTAACCCCCCCTCCCCCCAATCCAGCTTCCTTTTTACTCATCACTTCTAGCTTATTTTCCTTGGGGCAAACTTCAGCTTGGCTGTTTTTCACCAGAAAAGTCATATCCTGGAGGATACTAAGAACTAAGGCTCTCTCCACCGAGGGCATCTCGGGGGCCTTTAAACGAAGAGAACACTGTGACAGAGAACAGCTATATGTCAGAAAATAATGTGTGAAGTTTTCTATATGGGGTAGTCTATAGGAGAATTTTAGGGGTGGAGCAATTTCAAAGAACCGCCTTTATCTAGCTAGTGTTCTCTACCCGCTAACCCCCCACCTCCCCCATTTCTCTCAGCTCCATATGGTTTTCATTACACTCACTCCCACGGCTGGAAAGGGGGGGAAAAGGGGGGGGGGGCTACACACCCCACCCCACTGTTCAAGACCCGAAGATGAGGGGGGAAGCAACGAGGAGAGGCAAACAACCAGGAAAGTCCTTTCCCCAGCTTCAAAGCCCCCAGACTCGAATTCCACATGCCCTAGTTCTCAGTAGCATCCACGCAACACTTGAAACCGACGGGTGGGCGGTGTGCCGGTGAGGGTTAGAGGCACCCGGGTGCGCTCTCTCTGCTTTCGCTGGGTCTACATTCCCTGGAGGTTGGGGCATTTCCTGTAGGGCCGGGGGTGAGACTTGAGCAAATAAGATTGCCCCCTTCTCCCTCTCCAAACCACAGGGCTAGCAGCATGAGGCGGAGGGAGCTGTGTCCGTCTGCTGGTGGCTGCCCTCAAGAGGGTGGGGGGGGGCTCCCTGGAACGCCAGCCCGGGCGCGTGCGTAGGTGGACCCTCCCCCACCCCTCGGGTTATTTTTGGGGCCTGAGCTGCCAGCCACCGGCCCCGGGTTTCCACGTGCCCCCCTTCCTGCCCACGCTCCCCATGACGCACATCCTTCCACCCCCGCTGCCTCGGGCTCTCGGCGCCCCCTCCCTGCCTCCCTCCCTCCCACCCGGACGCCCTCTGGAGGCGCCGAGCCCCTGGGTCCGGAGGGAGAGCCAGGAGCAAGGAGGAAGGAGACCTGAGTCGGGGACTCGGTGCAGGGGCGAAGGAGGAGACTGGGACGGGACCTGGTCTGGGAGACGGAGGCAGAAGGTGGAGCCGGTTCCTACTTCCCTCGCCCTCTGCATTCCCGGCCTCGCAGCTGATGTGGGGCAAGAGGGCAGTTGGGTAGGGAGGGTGAGAGCTGTTAAGTCCTTGAACTACCCAAAGAAAAGGCAGGAGCGTCTCCCCCCACCGCACCCCCTGAGGTGGTAGGTTGTACCTACCGAGGGGGTAAATTGTGGCGGGTAGGAGACTGCTGAGAATTACTTGGCGTGGAAGGTGATCGTGAGTGTATGCGAGTGTGACTGTGTATCTTTCTAAGTTGATACTGTGTGTCGCTGTCCAAGTGAATTTGTGTGTTCTAGATGCGTGTCTTTGTCCCAGGGAGTGTTTGTGTCTCTGGGTTCTTATGTGTGGATTTTAAGTTATTTTTCAAAATCAATGAATTGTCAGGCTCCACCTTCGGCCACAACCGCCCCCGCAGCCAGAGCTGCTGAGATGTCTGTTCTCCTCCTCCCCCTCTCACCATCCTCCAATTCCCCTCCTACTCCTTTCCTCTGAGAACAAGGATTTTCCAGACCTGAGAAAAGGGAGAGACAAAGAAATAAAAATCGGGCCTTAAGAAGCTACATAGAGGCACAAAGAGAAATAGAGACAGTAACCAAATTAGAAGCCTGTTCTTTCAAGGGAACCAAATGAAAAGAAAAAAAATTCGATATAAGCTTTTCCTCTTCCCCACTCCCTAGACCTCTTTCTTGCCTGATTGGGAAAAGGGCCCATTTTTTCCCCCCCAAGGCTCCATTTCGATTGGTTTTCAAAGCAGAAACGTGAGCTCTTTATCAGTTTTGAGTTTTCATATAATATGCAATTTATTACATTAGGGAATATGTATCATTTCTTCACAGACTAATTCTCCCCTTTACCTGCCTCCTATAATTTAATTCCATTTACTAAGCATTTATTGAGTACCCTCTCTGTAAGGCAACCACTGGTTTGTAGAGCATAAAGCTGGGTAACAGTTTCTACCATCCTGGAGGTATGAACATATGAGACATAAATAAATAACCATAGTTTTTTAAAAAATAGCACTTGGTAGGTACCTAGAGGAATTGCAGGAAAAGTGTTAAGTGGATTCTTGAGGGGAAAGTGCTATTAATGACTTAGGGAATCCGGAAGGCTTTCTGGAGGAGGTGGTAAGGATAGCTAAGATTTCAAAGTTTGGGGTAGGTGGAAGAAGTTATTCCAGGCATAGAAAATAGTGTGTGCAAGAAGGAATGGAGGTGGGGAAATAATAATAACTAACATTAATAGAGCTTACTATGTACCAGGCTCTGTGCTAAGTGCTTTACAATTATCATTTGATCCTCACAACAACTATTATGATCCCCATTTTACATATGAAGAAACTGAGGCAAACAGAGGTTAAGTGATTTGCCCAGGATGACAGCTCTTTTTTATGTAAATAATATTTTATTTTTTCCCAATTACATGTAAAAACAATTTTCATTTTTTATAAGATTTTGATTTCCACATTTTTCTCTCTCCTCTGTTTCCCCCCCCCAACATGGCAAGCAATCTGATACACGTTATACATGTGCAGTCAATCACATAGCTCTTAGAAATACTGGTTGTTCAATACTCCAGCTTTGTGTGAGGACTCTATAAGGAGGGAGGTAATATGGAGCAATTTAGAAAACAGGGACCCAGGTTCTTCAAGACCAATTTACTAAGAAAACACTTAAGGAAAAGCAAAGCAAAGGGGGAAAAAGTGTTGGAGAAGAAATGGGCTGGGAAACAAATAAAAAGCATCACCAAATCAGTCTCCTGCTTACATGGATTTCTGATCTCACTGGCATGTGTACTCCCTCCAATGGTTCAAATCATGGGTGCTCTAGGTCTTCTCATCCTGCATAATTATTGTCTGTGTTCTCATTTGATGCTCCCCAGATTTGGTGCCTTATCATGGTGTGGAGGTGACCTGTGGTTCTCCAAAGCTATGCATACATACATGCTACGAATAGTCAGCTCAAGCATAGAGGTCTCCAAATTTTTGGATGAGACATCACTGTTAGCAAACTAATGTCTAGCACATACCCCTAATATGTATGTTAATAAATAATATATGGTATTATCATACAATATATCATGTATATTATATAAAACATACAAAATAGAAATTTCAAAGGCTGATATAGGAATAAACAATATTTTAAATATAATTTTTTATTAGTAGTACAAAAAAACCCCTTTTTGCTCTTTGGAGCAATATGTTTGAGTATGCTTCTTTCCTTTTTTTTTTTTTGGCTAGGCAATGGGGTTAAATGACTTGCCCAGGGTCATACAGCTAGTAAGTGTTATGTGTCTGAGGCTGGATTTGAACTCAGGTCCTCCTGAATCCAGGGTCAGATACACTGCCTAGCTGACCCTTCTTTACTTTTGAAAAACCCCTGTGTGTGTCCTGATGGATAGGGTAGACTTATAAGTAATAATTGTGTTAGTAATTAATTATTCAGTTATTTGTTCATTACAGCTAGGTAAACAGGTGAATTTCTTTTTCAAAGTTTTTTTTTATTTTAAAGATATACTGTACCACAAAATAGGTCATAATAGTCAATGAATCTAACAGCTTTTTGGTTGGAGTCTTGTTTTTAACCATATAAAATATAAAAATAACCAACAAAAGTGAATCATCTCCACTTTCAACTCAGGAGAAAGTTTTCTGTATAAATCTGTTCCTCTTTCTTTACATAGTTCTGCTTAATGGATGATATGAGACCTTAATTTCCTATTGGGATATGGATAATTTACTTGTCTTTTTGCATGAGAGAGG